TTCATCTATTTTTTGACAATATGTAGCTGCGAATTGAAGATAAAGATGAAAGAGAAAGTTTGTGAATATAAACAAATAATTCGAAGTTGGATAAAATTAGTCAGTTAATTGTCACACAGTAAAAAACATACATTATTAATACTGATGTTAAAGTATACTTTCTGGCCATTTACGTGCCAAATTAATTTAGACAGCAAAAATAATGAATATACAAATATCACTTAGCAGTGACGGATTTTACTTCTCTCTATTAATTGTCATCTTCAGTAAAACACATACAACTACTGATTAATATTAATCAGTGTATTATTAAGAGACGACATGATAATTGTAAACCACCTTCAAATTCCTTTCAGACTGTAAACACTACTGTCGCAAACTGTTTTTTCTCTTTTACAAAGTGACCATAATCGTGTGTATTGTTTTCTCTGATCAATAGGATTTTTTTTTCAAAACCAAGCAATAATTAGAGTAAACTATAAGTTTATTGCTTGTTTTAGTGGAAGATGAGATCTTTTCCGTGATAAACGATCAACTGTGATCAAAGTAGAACCTGGCATGGATATGATATGGGTCAAGTTATCATACTATATCGACACGGCGTGATAACTATGTACAGCTTAAGCAATCGACATAATGTAGTGGAAATAACAATAAAACCAAACCAGTTGTTGAGAATAAAGACAGAGTAAAATGGTATATATGAAAAAGTTGAAATACAAGATCGAAAGATAAGAAATAAATTCATACGCGTCTCCAAATACTTATCGCGGTTAACCCGCGGCCCCCAACGAAATAGTCTGCATCTACTAACATGACTCGAACCAACAGTCAATGACCTCCTAAACCAATACCATGTCTTTATTTGGCTAACTCTAGTTCTTTTTTTTTAAATCCTGCACCAGCACTCTTTTTAAGCTCTAAATCATCTCGTTGCAAAGACCTATATTAGGTAAATTTCCTAGACAAAAAGTTTGTCAAACACTTTTCCGTTCTATTCAAATGTTCTACTCATTATGGCAATAAGTAGCTTATCAGATTCAGTAAAATTACGAAGTATCAAGTTGGATTCATTTTAAATTAACAAGACAATCTATTTATTTCGTTTTAACCAGGAAAATACGTGGATAATTGATATATCATAAAGTTGAATTTAACCATGAATAATTATTTAAAATATGGGAGACGTAAATCATACATTTTCGAAAGGTCGTTCTCTACTACTTATGACAATTTGTGGTTAATTATAACAAAAGTTTAGTACATAAAATAACCGTACATTGATCTTACAACCATTTTTCCATAAACTCAGGAACTAAATGGTATTTGTAGGTGACAATGCAAAAAAATTTACACCTAAAACAGTGAGTAAACTTGTAAGATTGGATGATAGCTGACAGTGGGATTCTGTGCTTACGTCTCGTTTTGTTTGGCACTTGTCAGCTTAATGTATCTTCGTTCCAACTATATGATACTTTCCACAACAGGTGGGTATTCTATTTTTCTGTCAACAAATACCATCATTTCTTTTTCTATAACCAATATTCTACTTGCACCCAATTCATTCAATTTCTAGTCCCGAAGTTCCTGGGTCCGATCCCCTGTCAGGTCTTGAATGAGCACTGCCACTAAAAAGTCATTTTTAGGATGAAACAGCCATCCATTCATTAGACTTTTTATTAAAAACAATCCATGATGTCGCCTACAAAATTCAATAAACTCAAATCTGCAGCCTTTTGATTTCGTTGATTCAAAAACCAAATTTTAGGTATTATAGAAAATAATGTTATCATTAGACGTTTGTTTGGAGGTGTTCTCCCCATAGAAATAATTTGATTCTACCGTATCTATCTTATGTAATGATATAATGGTTTGATTAGCTCCCATACAAATACAATGGCTCAGATATGATTACATAAACCCATACTTAATGAGTAAATTACATAATAATAGTATCAGAAATAAAGACATCGACATCCTTATTTCAGGTGAACTTTGAAAGAGCTCTCAAGATGCACTTATAACTGAAGATTAATATATAGTTGTGAATGTTACGAGCAAACAGATAATGGTGTAATTGTATCTACGCTGTATTTTGTTTCATAGTTAGTCTAGAAAGTACATTGCTTTCATCAACAATCGACAAATCATATTTTCATCATTTATGATGAAAATAGATTAAGTGATATCATACTAAAGTTCATTTTCGGTTATCAGCCAATAAGTTTCACTGTGATGTATGCTACTTATATCGGCATAAGAAGTATATGACGTTAGTCGTGAACAGAATGTAATTTGTATGAAAATGCAAGAACAATGAAGTCTGAGTCATTTTGAGACAATTAATGAACATTTTGCAAATTAATCATCTACTATATGATTGTTAGATTTTATTAACAAGTCCTGTGATTTTGTGTTAAATACATTCGATTGTCCCCACTAGTGTTCACTGCATCATATATAATCTCGAAGTTTCACTCCCGAAAAATTTTGTGGAAGAGAATGGTGACTAACTACATTTACTGATGCAAATAAAATCAATTTGGAGCAGAAAATATACATTTTTTCCAAGGTTGGGTGTTATTAAGTAGTACGATGAGCTTGACTTTCTATTCCTCCTCGAAGGTCAGATGAATATACACCAATAATACAATCAACAATAAACTTGACAGACTCAAGCAAATATTTAGTATTTGTGTTTATCCTAACTTACTAACTTACGCCTGTTACTCCTCGTGAAGGAACATAGGCCGCTCACCAGCATTCGTCATCCAACCCTGTCCCAAACAATCCTTTCGAGTTCCTTCCAGTTATTATTCATCCTTTCCATATCTGCTTTTATTTCCCGACGTAATGTGTTCTTTGGCCTTTCTCTTTTCCACCTTCCTTCAGGATTCCAAGTCACGGCTTGCCTTGTGATGCAGTTTGACAATTTGCGTAGTGTATGTCCTATCCATGTCCATCGTCTTTTCCTAATTTCCTCTTCAGCTGGAAGCTGGTTTGTTCTCTCCCAGAGAAGCCTGTTGCTGATGGTATCCGGCCAATGGATGTTGAGTATCTTGCGAAGACAGCTATTTATAAATACTTGTACTTTCTTGATGGTGGTTGTTGTAGTTCTCCAAGTTTCAGCTTCATACAGTAGAACTGCCTTGACGTTGGTATTGAAGATTCTCACTTTGATATTGGTTGAAAGTTGTTTTGAGTTCCATATTTTCTTCAATTGTAGGAATGCTGTCCTTGCTTTGCCAATCCTTGCCTTTACGTCTGCATCTGAACCTCCTTGTTCATCGATGATGCTTCCCAGTTATGTGAAGGATTCTACATCTTCCAGAGTTTCGCCATCAAGAGTGATTGGATTGTTGTTCTCCACCTTGAATTTGATGACCTTGGTTTTCCCTTTGTGTATGTTGAGGCCTACTGATGCAGAGACTGCTGCCACACTGGCTGTCTTTATCTGCATCTGTTCGTGTGTATGCGATAGGAGGGCTAGGTCATCTGCAAAGTCCAAATCATCTAATTGCTTCTGAGCTGTCCATTGTATGCTGTGTTATCCCTCAGTTATCGAGGTCTTCATAATCCAGTCGGCCACTAGAAGATAGAGGAAGGGAGAAAGTAGACAGCCTTGTTTGACTCCGGTCTTCACTTGGAATGCATCTGTCAGCTGTCCTCCATACACGACTTTACATTGTAGTCCGTCGTATGTGTTCCGGATAATATTGACAATCTTCTCAGGAACTCCGCAATGTCCTAACATATTCATTAATAAAAACGTGAAATCAAATCACCAGGCTAAACAGTTCACTGCGCAGTTAACGATTACTTTGTAGATATGTGTAGAAAAGCTGAGTAGATCACGTTCTTCTTTGAGGGCTATATGCAGGTAAAACTTGCGTGTTAGGGATGCACTGAACATAACACTTAATAGTGAAGTTCAGTAGAAGTCCTAAAAGATTAGCTTCAATATATCTAGGATTAATCTATTCTGTTGAGCTTAAGATTTCCTATAGTTTGTGCACGATTCGCGAACATTTCATGAACAAATTGTCGCTTTGTGTTACTTCGATTTGCTTTTGTTAGTGTATTTGATTTTGAGGGTTAATATATACCAAACTGACGAAGAGTGCTTCTTCTAAGTCTCTATGTATACATTACTGTTTGGTTGTCAAACAAGGAATAGAAATTAATTAAAAGCATACTTCACGTCACAGCTGCACTAAGATTATAACTCGAAATTACGTACAAATAAGTCGTTTCAAATGAAGTATGTGTCAGGAACTTATTAACAGTAATGATTTGGACATTCACTAATTCAAGTTTGCACTCCTCATCTTACTATAAACTACCGTAGGCCTGGTGAGTAGCTGTAATCGGTAAAGTTAAACCACATCCAGTGTTAGGCAGTTACATACTGGCTAACAGTCACGAGGTATCGTTTATTGATTGGAGAAAGCCACTGAATACCTAGACATCAATATTTTGACAAATCCTGTTACATTGACCCGCTGTGTAATAGAAAATACAGTAGTTTTACTACTCGCTTCTACTCTGAGCCATATCTGATAACATCTTGAGCAACTAAGTTGCACGACCATTACTACCTGAAAATCACAGTGCAACACCGTTATCTTTCTCAATGATTTTCCAGGTATAGTTAGTCCTTGCTATAAATTACAGTTAGTATTTCAATCTACGAGTTTCGATAGTCATACAGCAGTTTATTATTAATTGAATCTGTTTTAGTTCATAACAATTGGGGATGTGAACTGAGCTTTCACCTATATTCATTTGAATTCAAGAAGTAGATATGGATGTCATACGATCTTTATAAACTGTCGAAATAATTTAAAAGCGACTTTGTTTACACAGTAATCGTATTCAGTATTTCCTAAAATTAATATTCTTTAAAAAATCAAGTATGAATGACATTCATTAATATACTAATTAGCTACTGTAACTATTTCACTCAATCTTTACGCACTACTTATGAAAAACCAAATACAGAAACAGATTACTTATATTAGTCGTTATATTAATACACACATATATTTCAAAAGTAAATTTACACTACTCAAATAAATTTCAGTAGCTCATGCAAAATAGATAAGAAAATGGGACAGTGTATGTATGATGTGTAATAAATTGTTGGCATTCTATGTATTAGCTATTTTAAACTAACAGTAGAAAAATTCGTAAATAAATGATTAATTACAAATAAATTGATGACTTATAATCAGGCTTCATAAATATAAATGAAATGGATTAAAATTCAAACATATGGTCTCCACAATCTTTCAAAACTTGTCGTTTCTTTTGAACATAGTCTTTCATTACCAAAGGTAAAAACTGAACTATTATTATCATCACTATTGTTCTTTTCATGATTAATAACGCTACGAAATGATTGGTTACCCACATCGTAATTATTGTATGGGTACGATTTTGAATAATTTTCATCTTTGATTGGCAATAGTTTATAATTTAAGTGACTATTTAATATATCTGGATAAATTTTCGAGTGTGTAGTCGGTTGAATCTGATGGTGACATGTTTGGTTGATTATTTTAGAATCTGAATAGTAGCAGTTGTTTTGACCAATGAAGTTATTAGCTTTATTTAATATATTTAATGGTTGACGGACTGCATCTTGTTCAAATGTATAATCGTCATAATTACACGTCGGATAATAATGTAAATCTTTTATTATTGGTGTATTCGTGTCGTTTTGCAGATTTCCAATACCAGTTATCAATTGATTTTCCTTATTCATATCATCTGTTGACGTAAATACAATTGGTTGATAACTTGTTGATTGGGAATAATGAGATGACGGTAATGATTGATGTTGATGTTTATACGATGACTGATATGATATTGTTGGATAAACACGTTTAGCATTCTGTTCAATATGATTAGAAATGGGATAATTATTGATTTTCGATGCACCATTATCATGATTTTTCATAAAATAATAATTATTTGTTAATTGATGATTTGATTGTGGAATTGATGGTATTAAACGATGTTGATAATAATCATTATGATTATTAGGATAAACTATAGATGCTAATGATGATTCAATTCCTGAAGAATAATTTAAATTTTGCAATGAATAAATTGATCCACAGTTGTTCTGATGTTGTTGTTGTTGAGAATTAGACGGTGTTGTTCTAAAACGATTTTGATGTAGTTCTTTTTTAAGAAACGAAACAACCAGTTCTAAAATATCAGCTTTCTCTAATTTCCGATGATGACGTGGCTAAAATGTATAAATGGATAATTGATGAGTTAATTAGTAAACTGATATATATATATATATATATATATATATATATATATATATATATATATATATATATATATATATGCACATATTTATATCATAGATTGGCCTTTGTAAACTAACATTACTTGTGGTGTAGAGACATCCATCTACTAACCAGAAAGTGAATTTACTGTTCAGAAGTTCGCTATGTAGTAATCTGTGAGTATGCAATATTATGGTCTACGAAATTAGCAGACATGTATTAGCTGAGGAATTTTGATAATAAGTATCTTCGAAGCATTGATCGTGTATTTTGAGACCATCGAGTAACCATAAGGCACTAGGTAAATGTGGCAAAACAGTTGATGAGATAGGGAATTGTTATTTATTAAGGTGGACGAGACATGGGTTAAGTATGCTTAATCACCGCCTATTTGGACGTGAGATGTTTGTTATTTTGAGTGTAAATTGTAATAAAGCTAGAGGCGGTTAGACCCAAATGAGGCATCAGTTCATGAAAGGACTAACTGTTGGTAGATGCGGAATATCTGATTGGGGTACATAAGTCAACGGCGATCAATGATTAAAGACGTTGCGATATGTCTCGAATTCATTTTTTAGCTTCCCTTATTTGGTTCCAGTATTTCTTAATGTGTTCATTTTTGTTCCGCCTTTCTGTAAGATACTCTTAATGTTTATTACTTTTTATCATCATCATAACTAAATTACTTAGACCCGTTTGGCTATTAATCTTGACAATTTCATCTCATTGCTTTATTTGGGAATGGAATCCTAGGACATCAGGTGTAAGTAACTAGGGAAATATCACAGTCACAAACAGATATTACCAATAGGGTATTCGGATCATACTTGACCTCATGTAGATCTGAAAGACTGAAACATTCATCAGTCACTGATGATATAATGAAAACAAAATTAAATTATTCAATTCCGAGGAGAAACGATAAAAATGGTCAGAAATCACATTGAATTACGTAATTCTTTATCAACACCAGAAAATTACACAAATATATTCAATTTAGCGCGTACATTAACTTTTTCATGTGATCAAGACTCAAAACTCAAATGAACACTTTCAATGATGTTTTTCATTCTCTAAGCCAGATGATTGTTATGACGAGTTGAAAAGGCAAATCTATATTTGTAACTATAACTTTTGGTTCAACATTACTTAAGTTTTGAATTCAATTTATTGATTACTCTGTGTAATATTTACTCATCGATAACATTAATTTATTTGAGTTTGATATTTATGGAAGATACAATAATCGTTGAATTAAATGAATATGAATTATGTTCATTATGTAATGCAACATGATACTTTGTTGTGATTTCATATATGTGACTTTTCCCTAATTCATAGTCAGGTGGAGTGAATATCAACTCTGAAATACAGGTACATTCAGATAATAAGTCTCAAATAAAACAAAACGCGAGGCCTGGATTCCACTTTTAACTATTATTCATCCTTGGTTATAATGTTTTTTGATTTAAAGCAATATTGAGGTAATCCTCACAGGATTCACATATGCCAATAAGAAACTAATCAATTTCAGTCCTAAACATCAATGGGAAGATTCAAACTAACGATACAAAATGAATTATGAGTGTATTTTCGACTAGGGTCGTCTTTGTTTTCGGGGTGAATAAATCTTCACTTGTATCTGTTTTTCGTGTTCTTAATTCATGTCGTGAGAATTGTAGTGGTTCCTCGTTTTCCAAATACGCGGGTATAATAATGGTTTAATCGTAGAGTTTTTGCTAAGACTCTGGATAACATTATTAACCTCTGTTTCGTGTAGACTTAGATACTGATAATATTCTACAGAATGGCAATTAGACCACTTAACTCGGAGAACACAATAATACATTAACAGTTTTTCCTGGTCAATAATCAGAATCAAAAGATCTAATCAGTTTTTAACTTCACTCCTACACACTAAAAATTATACCAAACTACATCCTAATTTTAATGAATAACCTCTGATTTACTTGTTGTAACATGTAACATCAAAATGTATACTTAGAACATTGTGTACTTTTATTAATCAAAAAATTATTTTGATTGACTTTGGTTGTTGCTATGGTTTCAACGTAAACTATTCATTTTTGTTGGAATACTCAGTATCATTAAACAAAAGCTGTTTTGTTATAGTAGTATGATGATAAGATTTAAATTGTTTGAGGTGATGATATGTTTCTATGTAGGATGGGGGAAGAAATGTTAGCGGTCATCTTTTTCAAGTTATCAAAATTTATTCTTGTTTTGTACTGGGTCATTGATATATGTATTTTAAACTGTTGTTTAAAGTGGGGAAAAAAACAAAGATATTAATGATAGAAAGACTATTAGGAACTAGATAGGACTTCACACCTTTTTAAGACTCTTCTCGACAGTGAGGATTTAAAACCTAAATAACTGTGGCTTTGAAATAAATTTCTAAAAACTGGATGGCAAATCGTAACCAGTGAAATTAATCATGAAGTACCTAAAGTTGAAGATATGAATGATTGGATGTAGATTTAGTCGTCTAAATTTAGTGAGAACTTAAGGTTTTAGGAAAAATCACTAGAAAAGTTCTAAATGTACACAACTGGAGAGTTACCATAATATTTTGGAACATTTGTCAAGTACTGTCTGATTTATACTGGTTTCATATGTCTTGAATTCAAATGGGTCGAGTTTATAATTAAACACTCAGTAAGCTAACTTGAATGAAGATTGTTATTAATTAACTGATCCTAATTAGTCACATAATTTCATGGTATATTATAAAATTGAATTTTGTGCTTACCAACTTGATGTGGTATTAACAACTACCTCACTATTGATATGGTTGAACTCCGCTGGTCAAAGCTCTTCACCAGAACTTTAGAAATTAGTGAGTACATAATTATTATTACTACACGGGGTTTGTGGAGATTGGTGAATTTCATTCGAAGTATAATGTCACAGTGATGAAAACAATGAAATTTATCCACCACCATCACAAACCTCTTTTTTAGTAATCATATCCTGTATGTATAATCTGTTTCAAAATCAATAAGTTTCCAACTTCTTTTGTAAACATCATTTTAATCAACGTTGTATCATTGGTATAATAATGTAAACCTGGATCGATATGCATATTTGTTTCAAGTCATATATTATTTTCTACTGACAATCTTATCAATTTAATACAATATTTATTTCGATAATACAATGAGAAGACAAAGTTTGTTGACTGAAATCTAATAACCATTATTCATTCGTCAATTTATGTAAAAATAGGTTTTGAACTCAACAACTACTTTACAAGTTACTTCTGTTTGTGTACCAATTAATAATCAGATAATCTTTTTTCGTATACTTTTATAATATTCAAATTATTATCAGAAAGGGGTTTTGTGGATATTATAGTAATTTAATAGTCGAGTTCATAAAGAGTCCCACACTAAGACGAAACAGTAGTTCACTACTTCCAGCTTTTCCATGGTGGTCTAGCTTCAATTGACTCATGAACTCAATTATTATATTATTTATTATTTAGATCTATTGATTATTTAAATTAGTACAGTGCAATTTCATGAAATTTCTATTCACTCTCGTATAATGGATTATCTTTTTATATTGATTATAATATTCATCATAATTCAAATAATTATAAAGCGGATAACTGTTTCAATACTCTTACAAGTATTATATTGTCAAATAGATAATTTAATAATTAAGTTCATGAATCAATTAAAGCCAGGTAACCATGGGAAACCTGGAAGCACTGGGCGACCGTTTGATCCTATAGTGGGACTCCTTCTTGGCAGTACACACCCACCACCTCACCTCGCTAGATTCAAACTCAGAACCTATCAGTCTCGCCCGCGAAAACTTAACCTCTGGACCACTGAGCCGGCATCCAATGGTGTTAATGTCTAACTTCAAGCAATCCTGGATATTGCCCCACCGTCCACCATTGTCTTCAATAAGTTACTAAGTCATAACAGATCAAGTTGAACTCTACTAGTCAAGGTTTCTCATTAAAACTTCAGGAAATACCTCTTCAAAACAGTCACTAGTGAGCATTTGATGAGGATTATAGTCAGACAGGGGTATTGTGGATATTATAGTAATTTAATAGTTGAATTCATGAGTCAATTATTAAGGGAGAATAAATAAAGAAGAAGAAATAAACTAGGTATCAATTATTTTCCATTATTTATATATAAAAACACTTAATGGTCATTAATCAATAATCTATTTGAAGAGTATATATATGCAGAGGGGGAGATTTAGGCAGTGCGTATGCGTTAGACAATTATTGATCCATTTAAAAATACAACACCTGTGTATGTGTATGAGATATTTAATTATTTTACTAAAGAACATATAAATATGCACAAAATGAGAGAGAGGGGGGGCAGAATTAGGCAGTGTGTATATCTTAAAGAATTATTGATCCATGTATATATTACAGGTGTTGTCTTTTTAAATTTTTACATGGATCAATAATTATCGTATTTTATGGCTTAGATATAATAATAATAATAATGATTAGTTAAACTGTTTTCGATACATGTACACTTGAAAATAAACAGAATAATTAAATTAAAATTGTCACATACGGAAACAAAATTGATAAATGTTAATTACTAAGCACAAAAATACAATAAATCATAAGTATTTCTTATATTTATCTTTTCTTGTATGTGAATCACAATGAAAACAAGTGGATCCTCTTTTTTTTCAAAGAAAAAGAAAACAAAGAAGAAAAAGAAACAACATTTTTCTAAGTAAACTCTATCTGTTGATAAGTAACTTTAATGTGATAGATACTGTTTTCTTTCCTCTATTTGTCTTTCTCTTTTTTTTTGTTTCTTTTTTGGAAGAAAAAACAACTTAACTAACTATACACGTGCAATGTGTTCATTTATTCTGTTCTGTTTTTTTTTTAAAAAGTATTTGTGTATTTCTAATTTGACGTCATTTGTCAGTATTGTTTTCTTTTAATACTTAAACTATTCATAATGTGATATGATGAATGAGTGTTTCATTATCGTTTTTTTTCTCCTTTTAATGTTTCATTGTAGTAACTCTGCCTGGAGCCCCTCTGAGGGCCACTACCGGTCCCAAGTTCGGATAAAGGAGGAGGGTTGGGCATGAGGTTAGCAGCCCCATCCCATAGAAAAGTAACTCGCCAAAAAAAACTCTAACCAGAAAAAATTATACTGGTCGGCGGCTTATGCTCGATTGGGAGTAACAGGCGTAAGTAAAGTAAAAGTCTACATACTGGTAGTTGTAGACTACCTGGTTGGGGACCGCGAGATGATAGCAACCGATGGTTAGAGACCCTGAATGACATGGCTCAAAATCGTTTGCAATGGCGCAGGTGCATCCACTCTTTGTGTTCTCCCAAATTCCAATCTTCTGAATTCTTCGTGTAAATTTCTTTTTTTCTCTTTCCAAATTTATTTCACTGGATTATACTCCTTGAATATTATCTTCAAACCCTAACTTTTCTGATTACAGCTTATAATTTTACTACATCTAGCACTACGGGATTTGAATCGACCACTGCATCTCTGTGCTAATATGGTATGGCAACTCGGACTGATGCACGTACATACGAAGTTTTACGTTGTTACTGACTGAAAGTAAAAGTAAATTTCATTGTAGTTGCTCTGATGTTTCTTTTTTTTAAAATATATATAGTAGGAAACACTCACTATGCGAAAATTTATCAATTTAACCCTATTTATGTATGATATCAAAGATATAAATCTATCTTGTCACTATTCATATAAAGGAATATAGATCATTGGACAACCTTAACATTGAATAAATATATTCATTGATGTGTAGAAATAAGTAGTTTTTAAACTTTCCTCTAAAAGAATTTATATATTCGTTTTGTATACTATAACTATAATATTTTTATAATAATTCATGGTGTAAACTGAATTTAACTTTTTTTTTAAAAACTTAAAAACTTTGGAACGTTGTACATCTGTTTTAGGTTAATTTAATAATAAGTATTTATAGTTCATGGTATACATTTTGAAGGTGTTATGTCCTCTGGAGTGGATGGTTTAACCAGGAAGTTTTCAAAGTCATTTAAGATAACATCAATCGTACATACTTGAATATTTATTTGATTTAAATACATAAACAGTGGTACAAAGAAGCATCCAAACATATATGAACCACACAAATCATTTGATCTGTATGAGGACTGGGATACTGCCCTGATGCCCGAATCGAAAAGGTGGTTTTCTAAGGGATCCATTATCCTAGCCTTTCATCTGAAAGTCTAATCTACAAGGTAGTGGAGCAATGTTAATAGATTCGGCCTCAGACAAACAGCAGGTTCACATGCCATTTGTCCTCTCAGGACCCTGAAGCGCATGTGCACTAGTGGTTTGGAATTAGGGCTTACCAACTCCCCTAAGTGGATCCTCTGTACTCACAAGCCCGGTTTAAGCACCGGATATTCTCCTTTCATTTTCTCATTTTAGTAAGCATTACCCTACTCAAGATTGAGTTAAATATAATCAAATTACAAGGTGAGTGCATTGACTTCGTTGATCCACAATTTTAATTTCAATCGACTTTCTAAAGTAAAAATCACTCAGTACCATAGGGGATTGCCCCCAAATGCCCTGGTACGACCGAGAGTGGGGAGAGTCCGCTCTCCCTCTCGAAATGCTCTCACATGGCCACGCGTATATAGCCTCTGCCAGGGAAGTCCTACTCACTGCAGTATCACAGCCCTCACACATATCGAATGAGATTTGTGTGGCGCATATGTATTTGGTGCCTCTTTGTACCAATATCTATGTGTTGAAAAAAAAATAAATAAATAAAACCATGGGGAATTATTTTATCTGGTTAAATTACATTTAGACGGATTAGCGAACAAATGATTAGTTACCCAGTGATAATCTAACTATTATACTGAGAATTTACATCATTGATTAGACATTTTTATTCCACATTAAGTTACGAAGAACGCCATTTAATTTAACTATTCAAACATGAGGAAGACAATAAAGTCAGTGGTAGTTTGAATATAATCTCAATTCATTTTAAGGAATCAGATTTAAAGAATATTGAAAAAGTAGATTGGATAAATATGCATACAGATTATTTAATCGTAGACAACATAGGACCTATTAAGAATACGTGTCAGTTGAATAAGCCAAATCTTTGACTAGAATAGCATGAAATAAGAATCAGTGGGGAATTTAATATAAACTCTGATGACAAGCTAAACACGAAAAATAAAGTACATGAAAAGGAACAAACAAAAATGAAGTTTGAGAACACAAAACTTAAAATTTTGAGGAATATAGTCAACGGCTGTGACTATAAAACTGAGACTGAATTTTTGATCGGTTCATCCAATGCCTCCAGCTATAAATTACGACTGTTGAATTGAACATAGTCCATAATTCAGTAATTACCGGCAGTGTTCAAACCGTCGGTTAATAGTATCAATTGATCTACTGTTCTTGCGAATTTATTTAATCCTTTACTGTAACAAATAACGTTCAAGCTTAGGATGGGTGTTAGTCTAGAATTCACAGCACATCCACTCGCCACCTCTGTTGATGAATGTTAGTGACATAGTAACTTATGCCGATCTTGTGTATTTCTGTGAATCATGTTCTAGTTCCATTTCAGTTATCGAGTGTTTTAGCTAACATTTATGCCAAATATTATCTTTAGTTAAGAAAACATGATTATTCAAATAACTTTCGTCAGAGTTGGAAATTATCTTTAAATTAATTAAATAAAACGCTTTCACATAAATTAAGAGTTAAGTATGAAGACGATTATTTAAATTTCAGTATCTAACGTCATTAAAAGTGAACATATTATAGCTAATAACTAGTTGAATTAATAAAGATAAATTAAAAATAGTAGTAGCAGTACTACTACTAATAATAGAAATAAGTAATAGATCAGAACTTACATTTTTATGCAATAATTTCAAAATAAGTGTCCTCAAATTATCTAATAACGCGTTGATACGATCACGTCGTTTTCGTTCTGTCATTTGTTTAGCCATTCGACGATCATGTTTTGTTGTAGCCAAACATTTTCTATTCGTTTCACTATATGAAGTCAATTGACTACTGATCAGTGGCAATTGTTTCTGTGGTGAAAATGATGACATGGATGGTGGTGGTGGTGATGATGATGTTATCGCCATTGTTGTAGTTGACAAAGATAATGAACATAAAGATCCTGATGTGGTTACGACTGTCTGTGTATTTTTTAGCAATTCTCTTCGTCGTTCTGTTTCGAATATCAATTCATTTTTTAATTCTTCTACTTCTTCATAGCTAATTTCTTGCTCTTCATTTGAATCAATTAATGAAAATGATATTTCATTCAAATCTGATTCTGATGTATTTGAACTATAATTTATATGTGACATGATTTTGGGCATAAAAAGTTAATGTATTAATGGTAAATTATTTTCAAATGTTCTGTTGAGCATAATTTTAAGGTGTATAAAAATATGATTATTTTATGGGGAAGATTTTGATTGGTTCATATTTCCCATTTCGTGATTGGTCGATATTTGTAAATAGACTATATACCATTTTTTAATCACTGGTTGCCCTATTTCTATTGTGTCATTTGATGCTGTTTAGAACGACTCAAAATTATCTAATCCTCCTGTGCAATGGACACTTCAAAAGCTAATTTTGATAATAATAATAATAATAATAATAATAATAATAATAATAATAATGTTTTACATTCACTTCTTCGACACTACGGCGTGCCTCAGAAGATAGTCAATATCATACAGAATTCATATGATGGATCACAATGCAAAATTGTGCATGGAGGACAGTTGATAAAGTCGTTCGAAATAAAGACCAGTGTCAGGCAAGGTTGCTTACTCTCACCCTTTCTCTTTCTCCTGGTGATCGACTGGATCATGAAGACGTCAACATCTGAAGGGAAGCACGGGATACAATGGACATCTAGGATGCAGTTGGACGATCTGGACTTCGCAGATGATCTGGCCCTTCTATCCCAAACTCAACAACAAATGCAGGAGAAGACGAACAGTGTAGCAGCAGCCTCAGCAGCAGTAGGTCTCAATATACACAAAGGGAAGAGCAAGGTTCTCCGATACAACACAGCATGCACCGACCCAATCACAATTGACAGAGAACATTTGGAAGATGTAAAAACCTTTACATATTTGGGCAGCATCATTGATGAACATGGTGGATCTGATGCAGATGTGAAGGCGCGGATCGGCAAAGCAAGAGCAGCATACTTACAACTGAGGAACATCTGGAACTCAAAGCAACTGTCAACCAACACCAAGGTCAGGATTTTCAATACAAATGTCAAGACAGTTCTACTGTATGGGGAGGAAACCTGGATAACTACGAAAGCAATCATCCAGAAAGTACAGGTGTTTATTAACAGTTGTCTACGCAGTTGTCTACTTCAGATCCGTTGGCCGGACACTATTAGAACAACGTACTGTGGGAAAGAACAAACCAGATTCAAGTGGAGGAAGAAATCAGGAAGAAGCGCTGGAAGTGGATAGGACACACATTGAGGAAAGCACTTAACTGCTTCACAAGACAAGCCCTCACATGGAATCCTCAAGGCCAAAGGAAAAGAGGAAGACCAAAGAACACATTAAGCCGAGAAATGGAAATAGACATGAAAAAGATGAACAAGAATTGGATGGAATTGGAAAAGGAGGCCCAGGACAGAATGGGTTGGAGAATGCTGGTCGGCGGCCTATGCTCCATTGGGAGTAACAGGCGTAAGTAAGTAAGTTTACATTCACTCGGTGTTGTTTTACTTGTATCTTCCCATTGTTAATTAGGACTGTAATAGATCAGTTTCATGTTGGCACATGTGCATCCTGTGTGAATCACCTTGATATAGCCTTGAGTCACAATCTTTTTGAGAAAAATGGATAGTGGGTAACAGTGGAATCCAGGACGCGCGTTTTGTCTCATTTGGGGCTCGCTGGCTGGAAGCGAACGGTAGTGGGTTCGAATTGAACATCAACTCTGGGATGCAGGTGCATCCAGATGGCCAGTCCCAAATAGGACGAAACGCGCGTCCTGGATTCCACTGCTGGCCATTTTCCATCTTTGCTTAATAAGGTTTTACAGTTTAATCTATTCAGAATTATCGCGAACGGAAGTTTTAAATATTGCCTATTAGAATCCAGCCTTGTGTTTTGAACTTCAAGTGTACATAGTAAGATCTGAAGATTTCTGAATTTGGTTTGAAGAGTTAGTTGAATAGTTTCAAACTAAGATCAAGCAGTTGTCTCAATCTCTCCGGTATTAGATGGCTCTTAAGATGATATCAATTAGTGACGAAAATGGTCTCAAAATGAGAAAATATCTAAGGTGTTTTATGCAAAAGCCTCATGATATGCTAATATAAGAGAAGTTTGAAAGAATGGTATGAGTGACCCACCCGCACATTGATATCAGCTCAATTAATATAGATGATGAATGTACCTAAAAGTTTGAGATTACTTAGTTTGACCTCATATATGCGTACTTTTAGTAACTGGGATATCTTGGTTACTAATTGTTTTTTCAGGTTAAACAAATATCTTTAAATGTTATCACCAACCTTATATTATCATTATTATTGTATGTGTACTGGTCACTTAAGGTCATAGTACTTTAACTATACATATTAACTTAATGATAATTAATGTATTTAATCACGCATACATACTTGTGTATTTTCAATGATTTATTGTTTAAAAATTGACTATTTAATTTTGGTGGGAAATAGATTGGCATAAGTTTGAATCAGTATGTTGGATGTGTTTGTGTGTAACTTTGTATATGAGAAAATGAACCAGTCCATGCCTAACAAATGTAGGATAAGTTGACCTTAATTTCAGTGACATTGAACAATATTGATCACAAAATGAATTATTACAGATGGTAACAGTAAAAGATAGTGATAACTTGTTTCGTTCATCCTTTTGATAGAACATGTATGTTACTGACAATTTATAGTTTACATCACAGACTGACATTAGTTAGCCAACTATTGAGAAACAGGAGACAATGAGCGTTTATTTCTCTTTAGTATGACTCTTTACATCTGTACGCATCTACTATTCTGCTGAGGATCGAACTCAGTGATGACTTATTGGTATAAAGGTTAAAGTTTCACTAGGAGACTTGAAGATATCGGGTTCAATCTCTAGCCGAGTTGCGGATATGCATTCCTGAGAAGTACCAGATTATAACGAAAGGGCTTCCAGTCTTACCTAACTTTTAATCGTTCTTTAGTTAATGTCAGTCCGTGATGTAGACTATGAAAATTCAACAATTTCCGTTAACCCTTATACTGATGTTTTACAGATTTATTAATAATTCCTGACTGAATGAAATTAGAACCTCGCAAAAAATAAACCAAATTATTCGTTTCTTAGATTCGAATACAAGTTGTGAGGTGTGTTTAAATCAAATGAAGAATTTCTTATTGAGATTTAAAATGACATATCTTTACTTCACCTGGAGGAAAAGGAACATTACTAAGAAAATGGCAACCAGAAAATATCATTTGAACCGTTTAAATTCTGCCATGAGAGTTGAAGAGTCTCTATTTGAAAGAGTCGTATAGCTTCATGGTGAAAGCCGAGATTTTTCGGAAGTCACGAAGGCGATTACTCTTCCAGGATCACCACGATATTATGCAGAACAAAATAGGAGCAGATTACAATGAATATTACCCAGTGCCTAAGTTTATAATAAAGAACTGTCTAAGAAAAGACTTTAACATCCTGATGATAGACCTGAACACCAAATTCAGAATAAACAACACTGAGTCTGGAGGTTTGGTGTTCGCACTCAAGACTGGTAGTCCTAGGTTTGACTCCTATGTGAAGAGTTGCGGATACACGCTGCTGAGGAGTCCTATACTGGTACGAGCTAGAAAAACTCGTGATTCATGAAAATTCCAACAGGAATTTATACTTATTTAAACAGGACAATGAAAATATGATTCACTATTTTCTAAAACCCTCTTGAAAGTTTCTAAAGAAATCTGATTGTTCTACGTATTTTCTGTATATTTTTTGAACTTTTTCAAAAAATTATCGACGGTTCTTTACATAATATTGGTTTGTGGTCATATTTTTTTTGTCTAATTTTGAGTATTCTTGGCGGTGTTTACTATATTGAATCCAAAAATCTAAATACTAACAATTCAAGTTGATTCGCCATGTAACACGATTATCATCTCATTTATCCTTCAATAGTCACTACCCGATAAACATTTTCAATGGTTTTCTCTGTTTTGTCATAGTTACCAGTTCGTAGTAAACATTAAATAAATGAATAAGTAATAAATATTTTTTCTCATATTTGTTTCCAAAAAAACACCTACTCCTCATTCAACCACTCCAAGATAAACCTTATGATCACAACTATAACAAAAACCTGTATGTGTGCAAGTACGCTTGCTTGCGCGCGTTACTTTGTATGTCCGCATTTAATACAAATACCGACACACATCACTCATAGTCAACTTCTAAAGATAAGTCACATACACAGAAAACAGTGATTCACTGATATGTTTAAGCAGAATATCACGTACTAGACAAAATTCTCTTAAAAATATATATTCTTAGTATATTTCAAAAAATGTTAATGTTACCTAGCCGTTATGTTGTTATCATAATCAAATTGAATAACTGTTAATGGTAGATTTGATTGCAAATTAAACATAAATTGAAAAGTTACTACAGTGATAAGTTCTTTGAAGTATTTGAAATTCTCCTAAATAGGAGAAAAATTTACACAGTTTTTTAAAAATGAAAGTCTATGACTAAAAACAATTAAGTATGAATTTAGAATATTAAAGTTTTGTTGTATGTGTTTATGGGGATGGTTGAATTTTCATAGTTTACATTGAAAGAATGGTCTTAGTTATAGGATCATTAAAAATCAGAAAGGATTGGTCAACTGTTTAGTCCTTGCGTGGCACATCACAGTGGCAGTGCTTATACACTACTCCACTGAGGATCGAATTCAGGACATTCAGGTCTCTCGGTGGACCCCATAACCTTTAGACCGTTGAACCAGCACCCAATAATGTACATCACTACCTACCTGATATGCATCTAGTTTATCTATTCAATGCTTCCTCGTTTCCAGCAATTATCTAATTAAGATTATCACAGCTGGAATCACGAGTCGATCTAAGCTAGACTACCATCGGAAACCTGAAAGCACTAGACAGATGTCTCGTCCTAGTATGGGACTCCTCAGTAGTGCACATTCATGGTCTGCACGCGGAACGCGAATCTCAGGTAATGGATGAAGAGTTGCGCAAGATCATGGATCGATTGAAGTGAGGCATTAACACCGTTGGATGCCGACTCATTGGTCTAGAGGTCAGGCGTTCGCATGCCAGATCAAATGTCGTGTATTAAAGTCCCGCGTGCTTGGTGTTGGATGTGTACTGCTGAAAAGTTCAATACTA